AAAGTATTGTGTGTGTATATATTGTACAGCTGAAAAAATATATTGTGTAGCTGTTGAATAAAGCAATTAATAACAAAACTGCTCTATGTGTGTACTACAATGCCACCAGCCCTGGAATTTGATACAGCAGTGCTTTGAGCTAAATGCTAATATCAGTATACAGGTGTCTTAGACCCTGCCCCTTACCCATTGTCACTTGGAATAGGCTCCAGCCCCCTGTGACCCTATTCAGGAATAAGCAGTATAGATAATGGACGCATGGATAGTGCCTTAGGATGCTAACATTTGCTAAGTAGCACTAACCACAATGTACAGCTAAAGATGATGGAAATGTCATTTGTTTTACAACTAATTCATCACAAACAATACTGGACAAATCAAAAGTTTGATGTGATTATGGCAACTAATCCTAACCCACTATTGGAAGGTTTAGGGAGCACCAGAGTTTTCTGAGCTTTTTCAGTCAAAGCAGTGAACTGATCAATGGAGAAAGTGACACCACTAATGATCAATGATCTAAATGCTTTACCTGGTCTCTGACAACTGGCCTCCGTTTAAGCCTTAAACGAAGGTAGAGGTCACACAGAGGAAACAGCAACTAAACATTTTAATGCAATTCTAAATATATGACACTCAGCACAGACGTTTGAGAGTGCCCAAGGTCATTCTTCCACAGCTACTTTATTTTTGTTGAAAACCTCTCCCTACCTTACCTATACTCAATAAGAGTATACTCAAAGCAATTACTCAGAGCAGAGCAAGTGATACATAATTTAAAGGTTTAGAAATGAGAAAATCTAAACCTTGACAGGTATAACAACTCTGATAGAAAACTGCAGTATCTATAACCAACCGTACAGTTAACACAGGCCCTTTGAACCTGGGCAAATGTACTACAGGTTGCATAATTATTCATCGCCTTTATTTTTTCACCTGTTCATTTTCTGCAGGTGGAATCAGTTCACTCATCAAGATGAGTACACCAACCTGCACCATGTGGCAACCCAGACTGTAAAGTCTAGCCATAGTTATAATGCATACAGATTATGACCATGTTTACAAAGGATGTAGAGCATGAAGTGACTTTGGAGGGAGAGTGCATTTCACCAAGATAGCTATCAGGGAGGAAAACAGTGGTAAAGTATTCTAGCTGAGCCCTATCTGAGTCTAACCAGGTCTCTTCCTGTCTGGTTGGCAGGCCTTCTAATTAAACCTATAAAGAAACTTGTTTCATTCAGCTGAGCAGTAATTAGCTATCATGATTTATTGTGCTAGCACAAGAGAGATTTAAAACATATGCTTGGAAGGTGGCGGAGGAGCATCTCTCTGTTCCAGACCCGTCATCATATCTGTCCAGTAGACTAGCATTAAGGCCAGATGCTTTGCTCTTGTTAAAATCCAAAACTGGTGACATCACACCCTCTGAAAATATGGAGCTTGAACAACAACCAAAAAAGGCAACTCTTGACATGTCTGGAGGTGTCATAAAGCAGCACGCTGCCACTAATCAGTGGTGGGAGAAGTACTCAGACCCTTTACTTAAGTAAAAATAGCAATACACTAGTATAAAATACCCTGTTACAAGTAAGAGTCCTGCATTCAAAACATTACTTAAGTAAAAGTTCAAAAGTATTAGCATCAAAACATCAAGTACTAAAACACAATTCATTTCGAAACACATTTCACATTCCTGTATATCATATTATTGTATTCTAATTACTGATGCATTATTCTGAACATCACATTTAATGCTGCAGCTAGTTTTAACTAGCTTATATACATTTAATTTGAATTACTGCTGAGTAGCTTGTGAATTTTTGACCACAAATCAACGAAACCTTATAATAATACTGTATTTTTTATATTAATCTGGTTCTGAAAAGTAACTAGTAAATAAAGTTAAAAAATAAATGTAGTGGAGTAAAAAGTACAATATTTGCCCTATAAAATGTAGTGAAGTCAAAGTATGAAGCAACAGAATTGTACTTCAGTACAGTACTTGAGTAAATGTACTTAGTTAGTTCCCCCCACTGCCACCAATGCGTTTTTTTGGTAGACTTGGCAGTACGGGTGGGCTGGAGAGAACAGCACCAGCAATGTGAATAACAGCACATGACAAGTGTCCCCCATATACAAACTCCTGTGGTTGAACATGTTAGATTATTGATGCTGGCACCTTAAAAGAAAACTCAGGAGCGAGTGACTATTTCTTCTCACCTTCAATATGAGTACTTTCAGAGATACATGCTGTGTTTCAGAAACTCATAATCACGTTCCAAGATCTGCTGGTTATGACATAATAGGGAGGGCTCTCCTGCTGTTACCATGACTTCATTTCTAGAACTGCCAATTCAGTTTCAACTACTCACAACTTTTGTCTTAATTCCCCTGAGACTGTGAGCCAACAATAGCAATATCCATCTTTTTGCAGTCTTTAACTGGGGTTATGGTAAGCTGACGCAAGCCTATGGGCCTTGCCTCAGTCTTAGATGGTTCTACACATTATCGTCCATTAATATTTCCCCCTTAGACTGAATATACAGTTTATGATTACACCATCATAACCTGAATGAAACTCTAAAACACTCAAGGTCAGGATCTGTCGACAATGATGAATTTAATTACTGCAACTTACAACTTGAGTTTTCTAAAGATGGCACACACATTTTTGCCACACACAGACACACACCATGATGCTTCTGCTATTTAACATCAGTATTAGAGACTTGCATATTAGACTGTTGCATGTCTCTGACCAATTATTCTCCACAAGTAATTTCTTGCCAGCAGAAATCTGTCCAAATCCTGAGTTAGGATCTAATGGACCAAAATAACACTGATTAGGGTGGAACTATTTTCTCCATTAGAAATCATTAATTAATGCAGCATAAATGTGGGTATAAGATTTCATAAGGAATCTTGTTTGTAAGTCTGTAAATGTTCCGTATACAGCTGCACTTTGCCTGTGTGTTAGTGACTGAAAGTGCAAGAGGCAGATCTGTTATTGTGTTACAATTTATCACCAGCCTCTCTCTACTTACATGGTGGTTGTCTTTTATGTGTGTTTTCCTGCATCTAGAGCAAATGTTTTTTATTTAAACACACAGGTGAACTGAGTGGATTTTTAGCAAGGACATGTTGCAGATGGGAGACATGCCAACATTTCTGGAAATGACCTGGTAGGCGTCCTAGATTAACCAGAGTGCTAACATTTAAAAACTGATTTTCACAGTAGTTGTCCAGTAGGAATACATTCTCACATCACCACCACTGGAAAATGTATGTTTAGCCCACTCATGCAACATGTTGTGACACTGGTGTTGATTATTTTTTGCTTTAGGTACAGTATATGTTATATCACTTTGACCGTGTCTAACATTCTTCTAATTTTGCTCAACATTTGTGGCTGGTGTTTGGTAAGTTACTGAGAGGACCTTGTGTGGAGTTGTGCTGGGAAGACTGGGAAGCCAGCAGCCTCACAGGTAATCGCCCTGGCTCATGGGGGAACAGTGAGCAGTGTCTGGCAATCAGGCCACAACAGTGGCCTCATTCATCACATGGGTAATATGCTGCTCACAGGTAGAGCCCCCAAGAAATCCTATACCAAGTCCAGCCCAGAATCAGAAGGCCTAAACAATCCCATCCCATCCCCCATGTGAGCACACATTGCATCTCGACAGACAGGAAGACAGAGGGATAATTTAGTAATTTAGTGATAAATGTCTGTGTGCTTGTTATTCTTGCTTCCTCTTTTCCTCTCTAAATAACTTTGGCGTCATCAGCTAACAGTATTCATAACAGGAATTAGCCATGGCCCTTATCCACTAGGTTTTCCCTTTAGCATGTCACTATGACCTTCACCAGTGAACCCTCACGGTCTCATTCCATCCTACAAACTGCACAGCCAAACCAGTGAGTTCAAACTTCTTATCCCTAAAGGAAAACCCACCCACTCTCTACCATGAAGCTATAATTTACAATCAAATAGCTGAACTTGACCCTAATGCATTTATAGATGGTGTGGAAAACCTTTAAGGGCATCCGTCAAAGCAAATATGTTTTCCCTTTTCTGTATTTCTGTACACACAGTTTCACATTTCATCCAGACTTGTCCAGAGTCTATAACCTTCCTTAACTAAATGGCAAATAGCAACAAACTGTCAATTTCTGACTTCTCCAACTTTATTCTGGTAAATGAACTTCACAGGTGCCTCCAGAGTTCAGTCCCACAGAAACACCTCACATATGCATTCAGCATATACTAGACATACCCAAGGAAGCCAGACGCTGAAAGGAAAGGAAAGGAAAGTCTTGACAGGTCTCCACAGAAATCACAGTGTTGTAAAGTAGGTTAACTACACACTCCCACACTGCAGTCTGTTGGACTGGTAAGGAGCTCTCAGAATCCTGGACCTAGTTCTTTAGTAATTCACTCACTGAAGTCACTCGATGATGAAATAATACATTTCACTCATTCATAGAAGGGAAGTCTTATAATAAAGTGAGACCATAAGGCTATAAAGTATGGAGAAAATATGATCTAATCAGGGTTTCTTTGGATGGAAGTTTATTAATCTATGACATTTATGGAACTATGTGATTTTTTTCCATTGTTTTCTGTCTTCCCCTTTCTTGGGCATGTACATTATACACCTAAATGATCTGTGAATGATTTCATGTGCATATACATTTACATACATTTATTGTATATATGTAACCTCACTTTACATTTAATATGACACATGGTGTATTTCTCGTATTTTCTTCTGCAGTGTTATTCATCATCTATACCCCCTAGTCATTCACAATCTGGTTTTTATCCAGGGTGCCTGCAATAGATTGGCCTATAAGCTGTGAAGGGCACTGATTTTTTTTTTAGAACATGCTGATATTTATACACAAACATGTAAATATGGCACCAGACTTATTATACACTGCTGAAAAAATACAAGGTCGATAAGGTAGATAAATGTTATCTGGGGAAAGCGGTTTTCATGGACAACTGTTTTTCCTGGATCACTGTCAGCTTGAATAGAGTCATTATGAATTCCTTCTCAAAAGACGGGATATGAGAGGAGAAAAGGAAGATGTTTTCTACAAACATAATGACCTAACACTGTATTTATAACCTATAAATCATCACAGTGGGATGTATTTTGATGCATGCATTGGATGAATAAAAACATTTTCTCATTTAAGAAGGGTTAACTAACTAAAATATACAAACTAACCTTCTGTATGCTGAGGCTGGTAGTTGTAGAGGGTTGGAGGTTGTGGCTGCTCACTGTCCTCTTTCATCCTGACTGGAGTTCTGCTGGTGGGACTGGACTGAACCATGGGGTACAAGTCCTGCTCCTCTTCACCGAGCGGCTGTCTGTGCTCCACTGAGACTTTTTCTTGTCCCTCTTGGTCGACAGAATGGGAGCTGACAATATTCCCAGTGCGACTGACTTGGTTATGTTTGTGATGCCTGTCCCCTGTGCTGGCACGGGCAGTGTATGCTGTATCTTTTAAAGTGTCCTGCCCGGCTCTTTTTCTGTCAGTGTTATGTCTGATGGTCCTGTCACCAGGTTCCTTTTGCAGCCTGTGGCTCTCTGAGGCCACTGTCTGTGTCACTGTAGTTGTTAGCAATGTTGAGGTTTCACTCTGAGCTCCTGTTGAGGTAGGAGTCTGGATATGTGTGACCTCATCATCACTGCTCATCACTGGACCTGGATGTTTTTTTGACTCTCCCAGCTTAGGTCTCCTATCATAATGGGAGTTGAAGGAAGTGAAGCTTGAGACTGGGTAAGCTGGTGGTGCTGGAGTAGATTTCAGGGGCTGGGCCAGTTCTTGGACAGTGGAAGATGTCGGCTCTGCCAATGTATAGTCATAATCCTCTGTGCCAAAACTGGGTGGGTCCTGCTTATACAGTGGTAGAGTTTTTCCCAGTGTCAGCTTGGAAAATGGTTCTACTGGACTTGTTTGTCGGCTGTCATGAAGGCTGCTAATGTCTGTCTGTTGAATGTTGTTCTCAGTGGTTGCTACCCACGTGGGCTTATTATCACTATGAAGGTCACAGCCAGGGATAGGTGAACATATTAACCTTCCACCTTCGTTAGGACAGTGGCAAACCTGGCACCGGTCTAACTGAAAGGAATGCCCTGCCTCATACTTCTTGCTGCCATGGGTACAGCCAATTCGCCCACACTCTAAACATGCATCTGCAATTTTTAAAATTTCAATGCAGTTGGGGGGGATTTCAGGGCATGGAATATAATGGCAGCTTATCTTCCCTCCTCCCTGGGGACAGGTGCATTCAGTGCTTCCAAAGTCCACAAAGTAAGATTCCCCCTCTGGGACTTTCCCTATCTTGAAGCCTGCTCTGAAACAGTCGTAATACTGGTAATCCTCACAGATGCAGCCCCTTTGTGTGCAGCTGGGACAGCAGGCACCCTTCTCTAAAACCGTTTCAATGCAGTTCTGCAGAACAGGACATTTCACACCTGTGCAGTCTTTCTGGCTCACACAGAGGTGCATGCACAGACTCATCCAACATAAAAACAGTGTTCCCTTCTGAATGTTCATTTTGCATAAAAAGTCAGAAAAAAATTTAAAATATATCAAGTTTCTTCTTCAAAGTAAGCCTCTCTTCAGACTAGTGTTTATACCACATGAGAACTAATTCGGCATCTTTAAGCCTGTGAAAGCAAACAGTGGTTAATGATATATTTACACTATAAACGTTGTCTGGCATTCAGCTTAACGACAATCAGTAACTTACTATTTCTGGTTTGCTTTTACACTTATCATCAAAAAGCATTTTAACTTAACATCCTGTCTGCTTTAATGTGACCACCCGCCTAATTTACATTTTCCCATGCCACCTCTTTTAGCAAAAACAGGAGATAAAAAACTGTGGCTTATATTTGATTACACATCTGGCCAAAGGTTAGACTGACAAAAGGAAATATGTACAACAATAATTATGAGTTGTTGAAATAGCAATGCTGAAATAACAAAACCTCCCTTTGCGATAGAAAAAGTGTGCTGATTTTGTCGCAGAAAGAGCTGCTTATCTCGGTTATCAGATTGCAACATGCACATTCTCATAAAATTGTCTGATTCCCATGGAATATGGTGAAGATCTTGCACAAATACTGATTCAGTCTACTATTAATATCTGCCTATAACAGCTGATGGAGCATAAACTGTTTCTCTTTCAGGGGAACTGCACAACTAATGCTGTATGTTGCCCCTGCTGTTATAATGAAATCTGACTCACTGTAAGTGTAACTATGAATGCATTTGATGAGATTCCTGAAGATCTTTTTTGGGTACCATACTGTGCGGAGGCAAAGTGACAGCACAAAGTCTGAAGGTGACAGGCTAGATCCTGTTTGATGCAACTACAAATCAGACAGCATATTGAAAATCAGGGGTGCTCTACTGAACTTTTACAGTTTTTCTTCACTGCCTGCGTTTGTGCTAGTAGTGAGAGATGTATGTGACATTTGGTTCTAAGAAATCAGGCACAAAATTAGAGACTGACTCAAAAATATTTCTGCATGACAAAGTTGTCTTAAGACATTTCTTGCTACAGTGGTTCTAACCAGTTTTGTGCTGCTCTTTCTACAGTTTATTTTGGTAGCACATTTTTCCTTAAATGCCCTAAACTCCATGTCTTTGGAACAGATTCACACCAAAAGAGGAGCAGCTGTTCTTCGATTGCTTTTTCTTCAGTACAAATAGCCTATACCCATCTACCTGTTTACAAGAACTTACATAGCCCACAATGTCATGTACAACCCAGCTTATGTGCTGATCAAAGTTGAAAGTAATGAAAATAAAAATAAAACTGAGTAATAAAAACAAAATGGTTGGGCTCATGAAAATCAATGTATCATCTGTAGCTCTGTATTTATTCATAAGTCAGGCAAAGTGGTACAAAGCGCCCTGCAGCTCCTTTTAGAGAATCAATGGTGTCTTTGTGTGCTGCGGGTGCAAAATCATTTCACCAGATCTTGCAGTATTTCTGCTATAGTGCTTTAACAATGTTGAACCTAGCCAAAAGCACCAAACTCGAAACTGTCTACAACATTCATAGTAACTGTAAGAGAGGAAATTTAACAGAGGAAAAGGCCCCGGAGTAGAAAGAAAATGTGATGGACTGAGTGTGGAAGTCATCTGGTTGTAGCTACCTCTGAAAGGCATGGACGGGGCTGTTCTCTGTGGATAAACATAGTCTTTCCGAGTTTTTGGTCAACTTAGTTATCCAGCGAAGCATGTGAAACGGTTTGCCCAAAAACTGACCTTCACCCTTTAGCTCAATGTGACACACATGTGCGCACACATATGTGCAAACACCCGCATCTATCAATACGTCAGTCCAAGAGTAAAACACCCCGAAACGATTAATGACTCGCTTATTAATGAAAGAGCATTTATAAAGTGCAAACCTTTAAACAGAGCCGGTCAGCATTCAGTCCTTTGTTAATCATTTGATAATCAAACCACTAAAATCTCTAATTCAAAGTTCTCGGCGTGTTGAGCAAGACGCAGGATTAAAAGTAACTTCATCATCTGAATTTAACATAGCACTGCGCTTATTTCAGTCCTGATATAACCAGAACCAGAAGACTCGATTTACCTCTCACATTATCCAAGATCAAACTTATAATTCTGGTGCCGGAGCGTAAAATGTCTGTGGAGTGGAAATCAAACTGATGAATATGTATCGTCCAATAATAGGCTATGGAAAGTTTTTATTTGTTCAAGTCACGTTGCCTACCTTGCGTCTGTGATCGAGCAGTACTGGTGTGCTCCAGAGGGCAACTTGTGCACTAAGTGTACACCCCGACTCCCCTCGCTGGTTTTTCTGGGAGGGCGGGACAAAGTTCTACAAAGTTATCTCCAACTGTTTCGAAATGATTTCAGTTCCTTTTACTGCGTAAAATAATCCAAAATAGGAGAAATTACTCGACATGGAAAGTATGTGGTGTCAGCATCTTTTAAAAAAAATGCTTCAGTGATTCAGAAGGCATTTGCCCTGCGTAAATGTCCCTGTGATACAAAGAAATAAAAATCCCAGGTATTTAGGATAAAGGTCTTTGTGAGAATATATAGAATAATATAGACAATACCAAAAAAAAAGAAAAATGTCTCTTCCAAGCTATTCTTATAAAGAATTTTTTTTTACAATAGCATGAAAATCACAGCATGAACATTTTTCACTGTTTGGTTGTTTGTATTTGTGCATTTTGCATGTTCCCACTTATTAGTGTATTAACAGCTGCACAGTTTCCAGTTAGGTGCCAAATTAATGACAAATAGGCCTCTTCACTATGCTAACAGGACTTACTAATAAATCAGCCTCATACTATCCATCACATGATGTCTGTTATGTTTATAATTAGTTGTATTCCAGTTCTAAACATTTTATATACATCACATATAAACTACACATGACACAAGTGTTTAAACAGACAACAATGAGGTTTGTCTTTTCAATATCTCACTATTTTTCTCTAGTTTGACTTTCAGGGTCACTGTGATACTAGTGAGAATAGACAAAAGCTCATGAATATGCTGGTCCAGAAAGCACAAGGGCCACAAGGGCCATTGGCCACTTTGTTTCAGGGGTCTCCCCTGACTATTCAATGACAAAGATGAATTGGTGGCCCCATTATTAGTGTGGACAATCCCCTCCCACTCCAACCTTTCTTAACCTGACCTAACTGTAAGGGTGGAGGAAGCTCACATGGGGCAAACCCTCCTGAGGGGCCTCATGTGAATGCTTCATTCCTCAGTAGCTCTGACTGAGTGAATTATACATAATTTTGCATTGTTTGGTAGTTTAAGAATTCATTCTACCCATAATAATTTTATGTTTTATACTTGATGTGTAAATTCATTTTTCAGAAGTGGTTAAAATATTGTTCTATTATTAAGTTTGGTCAGTATTTGTGTTGGAAGTTAAGGAATCTTTTCTGAAATAATAATTTATTGTGATGATAATTTATTAATATGCTTTTTTTCTGTTGTTAAACCATAATGAAATGGAATTTTTCAGCTTTTGCTCATTTGTCCTAACAGTTGAGTTGAGTTATATTCCTGCAGCCAGAGTTTCCTTAACTGTATTAAATCAAAATATTCAACAGTTAGTTTCATTGTAATTAAATAAACACACAGCTGCATAAGTCACACATAAAGACTCTCTGGGTTCTCATGAATTCTGATCCTGATTGAATGAAATGTTTATCTTTCATCTTATTCACAATTCAGTGGAAAAGTATTATTTAGCATATTTATGTGCAGTAAATCACAAAAAACAAGATGAAGTTTCATGCAATACTTAACACCCTTTCATGTCTTTGCTAACACACCGGTTATTATCTAATCATATCTATAATGTGACCTGCATAATATCAAAATTCATAGTAATAACAGGTGTATTGATTCTTCTATTCAGTGTTATTGCAGGCTGACTTGTAAATGACAGTGAAATGAAATCAGTGACTGTGTAATACTCCGAGGCACATTTCACCTGTATGGTCATTCATACCCTGGACATATGAGCCAAGTGGCCCTAGCTAATTCCCAGTGAAGAGGTTGCCTCTCTTTTGTGCAGCCCTGCCCTGTGGAGCCTGTAAACGCAGCCAAGCAAATGCCCAGTCATCTGCTGAGAAAGGTAGGCAACTAAAATCACTAGATCATTTGACAACTGCCACTTCCAGAAGTATTTCATCCCTTGTGCCATTTTAACAATTACTGGATGCTTCTTTCAGTTCTGATTTGTTTACTCTCAAAGGTTTCTATAAAAATGAATGATCTCTGTAATACAAATGAATCCCTAAATGTGTCATACCTTGTAGGTTTAGAACATTTGAGGCCATCTGACTCCAGAGAGATGTCTTCATATTGCATGCAGAGACTAAATGGCCTGTCCCCCCCCTGCAGTAGTTGACCTCTCCTCACTCTTCTGGGGCTAGAAACCTTCGGTGCAGTGATGGCTCTCAGCCTGTGAGATAATGTCATCTGACATGCACTGATTTGGGAGAGGTAATTGCACCCCACACTGTTGTAATTTCTCATTCATGCATGTTTAAATGATGACTTATGTCACTCCTAATTGTCTAAGCCCATTAGCTGCAACCCTGCCACATAATAATCTACCTAATGGGCACTTTCTCTATTTCATACCAGGAATATTAAATTAAAGTTTAAAACTGAATACATTGTGTTTATTATTTGTTCTCTGAGCAGAGTGAGGTCATTCTTGCCTCAGTGCTTCTGACAATAATATTCTGCAGGGTTGTCATTTAAACTGATGCCAGTGATTATGACATCATTGTCTACTCAGGCCCCTACATGCAGCAGGCGTTAATGTTATCTGCCCGTTGTGTGATACATTGTCCTGCTCTTCTGCTTTTGTTTAAACAAATGGATACAGCCTCATAGTGTTTGTTGTAACCTTTGTTAAACCACAGAGGCAGTGTGTGAGGTGTTCTAAGCTGATATATTGTATCCCTTAGCTCATTATCTGTTCATTTAATGAGTCATTTCACAAAGACTTGAATCCTAATCCTATTATAGCATTATGTAATATATCAACAGGAATCCCAGCAACACCTACATACAAATACAAAGAAGATTCTTTTCAGTCTAATAACAGTGGTGGGGTTAACAAACCTCGCATGCGGCCAGTAAGAGTGGTAGACCTTTTCTAAATTATTATATTTCTCTTGTGTACTCATATGTTTTCTATCATTGCACTGCTACAGATATATGAGATAAAGTAAAACGTGGAAGTCTTTAAAGCAAACCAGCAAAGAAAGGGCATGGTAACTTTGCTAAGGCTACACCATGGAAATTAAGACCCAGATGTAATGTGCTGAAAGTACCTTCCCACCTGTGTCTTTTAAAAACTTCCCAGGTTGCAGTTAAATAGCATATCGGATGAAAGTTGCAACCACACAGTACAACAGCTTTAGGTTTAGCTACTGTATGAAAAAGCAAATTTCTGCCTCATTTGTGCAATTAACATATGTATAATTTAAAAAATCATCCAATGTCACAAACTCTAAAATAGGCTGTTGTTAATATAATTTTACCTGATGTGAATTTCAATGAGGAAATAAATGTCCCTGAGGTGTGAATAGAAAAGATTATACACTAAGTCTAGGGCACCTGGAAGCACTTTGGCAGGATTACACCTCCATTGTCCATGACTGAATGCACAGCATTGCAAATACAAACCCACTCAGCTCCATCCACCTAATTCCTACGCCAATGAAATGACATGGGAATTTGAAGCATAAAGTAGATTGTGTACAAGGATTTAATACTTACAGCATTGCTCTGTAGACTTGACTGTTCTCCCAGTTTTACTTACATATGTTTTTCCTTTTATTATACTGTAAATATTACAAGAAGTCACCCAGCATGAAATTCACCTGATTGCAGAGAAAACTGCGGAGTCAGTATCCTCTGGATATCTGTAGTCTTATCACAGAGTTGTACGCTGGTACTGATCTGAGCTAGTCCCTTCTCCTTGTCCTCTTTCACATTTCTTGGAACACATAAGAGGCCTCCCTGAGGCAAAGGCTTATTTCACAGAATAGTAACACCTTTTATTATGCCTACCTGCAGCAGCTTTTACTGTCACCTTACACCTAAGGGACCTTTAAGTCGTATACTTATCAAACAATTTGAAGCAGTGACCCTTCCAAACCTATTACATTTAAGTCAGCCGTTGAGAACACTGCCAGAGAGTAAGCGTTTAAGTAAGTGTCAGGGCCTTCTGCACCCACTTGTTTGGATCAAGTCAAGCATGGTAGCCAAGAAATGTTCCTGACTTTGCATCAGGAAGGATGTGGCTGCTGATGCATGCCCAATGAAGAGATACCAGATGTGATTGCAAAGCAGCTGCAGATATAGGAAAATATATTATGTGGGTGTAGCTCCAGGTTTTTCATCTAATTGCATAGGCAAAATGCTTTGTGATATATGATCCTGCATTATGAAATTTATATACAGTGGAATCTGATAGGACAAGCTTTAAGAAAAAATAGATGATTAAATGTATTCAGTAACTTTTAAATGATATGACCATTTAACTGCTTAAAAACAGACACAAGTTCAGGCAAATTAAAGAAAACAATACTTCTAGACATTTGAGAACTCAACTTTTTGGATATTAATGGATGTTAAGCTCCAACACTGCCAGACTGAGACAGAGGAAATTACATAAAGAATGATCCAAGGCCCCAGAACAGATCTACATTACAAGCACTTTTCCCTTTGAATGAGTTCAGTCTGGTATTGCACTTTATGTTTTCAAGACCTCAGCCTTCATGTGAAATGCTACAGAGTGTGACATTCAGGTGTTGTTTTCCATGTTCTGAGACATTACATCATTTACTACTAACAAGTGCGCTGCCCATAGATAGAGTACAAAAATAAAACTAAATGACTGAAGCCCACACAAAATCAAAATAAATGGAAGTCGTGCTGCCTTCTTAGGTTTTATTCTCAACTATCATCAAAGAGTTGTCATTTTATTTCAACCCAAACAGCCGTCACTTTAGACCTCATTACCTCTACAGTGTAAATTTATGATCCAGTCATGTGACGTGTGATTAGGTCATGTGTATATTGCTACAGTTGCAATGATTGTTATTAAAGAAAGCCTACTAGAACACAACGCCAGTCAGTTTTATTGCTAATGCACTCTAACTCAAACAATATGTCACCTTTGGCACATGCCAGCATTATGTAAAACACCTCAAACCCACAGCCTAGCTGATAATCAAGCGGTGCTTTTTTTTTTTTTTACAGGCACAGTCCAGAAAGAGCAATTCTGTAATAACTTCAAAGTGAATGAAGGGTTGGATCTGAAATAATGCTGCCATTTGAACCCAGAATGCATAATTGTCAGTCTGTTAGCAGTTAATGCTTTATCTCGGGACCAATTTTGATGCCAGCAAATGATCTCACACACAAACCAACGAAGTGGGAATTAGATTTTAGATTATTTTTTTTGAATTTCACTCTTGATTTTACACCACATTACCCTTCCAGATATGTTGCCATGTAACTCATTTTCAGCCATAGTCTTTCAACTCACTGTTTTGTTTAAAATACATTGTTCAAAAGAAGCTAATGAAATTTACTCAGTCATAAAATTAAAGTGTCCCCTTCACATTGCTATCATTTATGGTTGAGTGAGAGTAATGTGTAGGTATCAGTGACACCTAGGGGTGAAAACATGTGTATTGCATGTTCATGAGGGACTCAGATAGCCAAAAGCTAAAGATGCAAGGATGTAACAATGCCTGGCAGCCAGACATTCATGACAGTCTGTTCTGCTTGGTTATTCAGGTAATTTTATAGCTTAATATAAGAACATCTTTTTCTTAATTGTTGTGTCAACTAGTGTCTGAACACTCTGCATTTAATCACATGTTTGACAGAGCAGAGGTTGATTGTGCAGTAGGTCAGGCAAATGTTTCCTTCATTTATCATACATGGCTGGAGATCATAGACAGGTAGGATGGTCAAGTCAAACACTTACAGGGTGCCACAAGAGCAGGAATATATAAAGTTCTCAGTTTACTTCTGTCAAGTACTGCAGTCAGCTGAGATAGGACAGCAATGAACCATGTCTTTGTAAATGAACAGTTTGTGCTGACACAGTGCCAGAGCAGAGTCGGCTCAAGTTTATGGTCACTTTGAGACAGTGTTGTATTTGCTTGCATTGGGTTGTTTATAATGTTATGTCCACCGCATACAAAATATTATAAATAGCTCTCAATATACAACCCAACACCACTTTGAGAATCTTAAGATCGACACTAGAGATGAATGCACATGTCTCTGACACACTGTCAATAAAAGCTGCACACTGAGCTTCAGATTGATGGGATAAATTTAAAGGCTTTTGGGTGGAATAGAGCATATACAGTATATATGGGTGCCCATAAACTGGTTGCTTTACTAGAGCTGGTGAAATAGGTGTGCAAAAGGGGATACAATGCTGCCTGACAGTATCTGGAGATGATAGCCAACCAATATGTTGTGCATATATCCTGTCATCTTCACGTAAAAAAATCAAACAACAAATATTTTATACTGAAAATATTAAAAAACCATTATGACTAATATATATGGAATATATACTATGTTAGCACAACAAACCTAAAGGATGGGTTTATAGTTTTTCAAATTTATTTGAAAACAATAGCAGGGTGCTCATATAAAAGTTGAAATCGACTGTGCATGTTGTAGCCTAATAGTTTTTCCTATTCATACAGGCTATTAAGTGATCCTTTTAATGCTCTTCAAATGTCAGTGATGGAGGACAAGTCCCCGTTATGTGCAAAAATGTGTTCCAAAACGTATCTGGAGCTAAAATGAAGCTTGAGCAGTTTGAGTCAGACAAATTAATTGGACAGCTTAGTTACAGTCTCTCTTGTACAAATTCCCTCTGTGTGTTACTGGCCCTCCCCTGCAGATGAGCAATGAAACACTGTCCAGGAAAGCCAAAATGAATTTTGTGATAAAAAAAAAAAAGGTTACACTGGAAAATGTACACTTATTTGCTGAAGCCTCATATTTTGCTTTTTGCATGAAGTGAGGACTATGAATGTTGTCCCTTCACTTGCACTGACAGCACATTAGGGATCTTACACTGGCCAATAACTGCAGCAACCAGAACTTGTTTCAGTCCTACATATGGGCACTGTTTGTTGTTGTTTAACAGTGGTGGAAAGTAACTAAGTACATCTACTCAAGTGCTGTACTTAAGTACAATTTTGATGTATCTGTACTTTGCTTGAGTATTTTTATTTTCTGTTACTTCATACTTAGACTTCACTACATTTAAGAGGCAAATATTGTACTTTTTACTCCACTACATTTATTTTATAACTTTAGTTACTAGTTACTTTTCATAACCAGATTAATAATTCAAATTAAATGCATATAAGCTAGTTAAAACTAGCTCCCCCTTTACCAGCTGCAAAATTAAATGTGATGTTCACATTGATGCATCAGTAATTACAATACAATAATATGGTATACAGGAATGAGAAATGTGCCATTCTGCATAATGAGTACTTTTTTTTAGTACTTAAACAATTAAGGTAGCCTATTACTAGTTTATGTTAATGATGTCCAACAAGAGTGACAACTGATAATGCGGAAGCCATGTCATTTCATATGATTTTTAATCGGGTGATTCATATTCACAAATTAAAAAAAAGAATGCAGTTAATTAAATTGCCACAAACCAAGCACGATTAGTGGGAATTCAGTTCAATTCAGTTGTTGACAAAAACAACGCCTACAAACTGCGCCTTTTTTTATTTTTATTTTTATTTTTATTTTTATTTTTATTTTTATTTTTATTTTTATTTTTATTTTTATTTTTATTTTTATTTTATTTATTTATTATTATTTTTTTTTTTTTACAAACTGCACCTTTAAGAGAGAGCGTCATCCGTACGTCGCCCACCCTCGTGACTGACGTTTCATCGCTCCCGACTTGCACCACTCAAGTCCAATTATTGCTAATGGCGGGGGGGGGTTTACGGACCACGCGTATTATAAGCTAATGTTATCGCTTGCTAGCTGTCTAAGTTAATATTAAACTGGGGCTTTGAAACTAATAATCGCTGTGTTTGAAGCATCTTGTAGGATTAACAAGGCAAATTAATAACTGAACAGGGACTAGGGGACATTGTACCTGTTATCATCATGTGGCTTCACTCCGTTAACTACTTGAAACCTGCATGAAACGGAGCAGGAAGACAGACTGAAATAGGTTCAGTGGTGATGTTTGCTCTGCTAAATGCCTGTCTCAAAGCCACAACTCCAAAACTAAGGTTACGGCACAAATGTTAGCCAAGTTAACGGGACGGAGGAAATATAGCTAGAGGCGTTATAGGAACTTAGCCTTCATTCATTCATTCTGTAAACCGTAGTTTCGTTGCCAAAAACTCTCCACAGTATCACGACGCGGAAATGATTCCGTTAAAATTATCAGTGTTGCTATTACTGTTATCAGTACATGTTACTCAAGTCAGCGGTGCCTCGAGACTAAATATCCCCAAGGTGTTGTTGCCTCTTGCTAGAAGTACAAGAATTAACTTCACCTTGGAAATAACTGAAGGTTGCTACAGATGGTGAGTAGGAAACCGTGAAACATGACGTCTGACAGTGTCGTGTTACGTTGGGGATGTCAGGCCACATGGCTTGGGATGCAGGTGCTCTTACTTTGCAGGAAAAAAAAAAACAGGTTAAAGGTGCATTATTGAAAGTATTACATTTTACACATTCTCTGATCAATCAGGTGCAAACAGGACAGGATGTGGTGTCAGTAAAGCGAGATCTAATTGATTGAAACCTATTTTTACCAAACCAAAACAAGAATGTATACAGGTAAATACAGCACGTGCTTCCAAAAGTGGCGCCCTCATCCCAGCATTCAATGTGACGTGATGTACCTTTATGTTCTCTATAAGAACTGATAAGAACTGCGACTGACAGCGTACACAGACATTTTTGTAACTTTCTGAAAATGAAAAATAAAACTGTAATAAAACTCAAACATCATATTTAATAAATTTTACATTTTATGACTTTGTCTCACTCAAACACATCTCAAAATAAAGTGCTCCAGGGTACAGGACAATGTAAAAATGAAGTGCAATGTTTGTAGTTGTCTACATCTAAACAGGTAATAGAAACAGAAGAGTCTGTTACATCAGTCTTCTGGGCAGCTGTGCCTCAGGACGTAGAGCAGGTTGTTCCCTAACCCGAGGGTTGGCGGTTTGATCCCCGGCTTCTCAAGTCTACATGTCAAAGTGTCTTTGAGCAAGACACTGAACCCCTAGTTGCTCCTGGTGATGACACGACGTGTGAGTGTATGAGCGTTTGTCTGTGCGAATGGTGAAATATGTAAAACTCTTTGAGTGTGCATCGGTGCATGGAGAAACGCTATATAAATATAAGACCATTTACCATTTTACCATTTATTTCACTATATGGAAGAACTTAATGGCCACTCCATGATCTTTTTTTTTTCCTGCTCATTGTTTTCCAGGTCTTCCACCAGACCAGAAGTAACAAGCATCCAGACTCTGGATGAAGAGAGCAGCAGGGGATGCTCCAGGAGAGCTGTTCTCCAGGTGCTCTCCACCCAGCCCTCCAGACTGACCAGTATCATTCTGGCTGAAGATGTTGGTAAATAAAGTGATGTTTTATTATTGAACAAGAAGCTCATTCAAGGTTTTTTCATATGTAAGAATTTAGGAAATGAATGCATGCATTTCATTTTGCTGAATCATCATCATCTCTGGTATATTGGCAATTGTACCAAAAGATCAAAGAAAATATTTAATTGTGCTTTTCTGACTCGACAAATAATGGCAATGTCCACACAGGCATGGGAAGGCAGGGTTTCAGCATGTCCTGAAAGCTGGGTATATTGTGGACTAATCTTTTTTTTAGCATTGAAAACACCTGAAAAATATGAGAAAGTTAAATTTGCCTGGAAACTGTTTTATTTTGAAATTAATGTCTTTTTTGCTGAGAATGAGCTGCAACTGTATTAATAGGGCTGTGTTTATGTGTGTTTAATTGTTATGTTAGGAGCTTTAGAGCACCTTGGGCCACACATGCATTACACAGGTTAGATAAAAAAACTTGCCCAAGCAGGCCAGCAGCTCTTAATAGGTACGAGACGGTGGTGTTGGCTTTGTTTTCACATGAGCCTCAGCCTCCTTTTATTTTTGTCTGGCTACATGTTTATCTTGCAGCTGCCAGCCCCTCCAGGGACTTGCTCTCTGTGTGTAATTTAAAATTCACTGAACTGTTTAAATGTCACATTTTTTTAATGTTTTGTAATGTGAAGAGTTCAGAATATATAAAATGTAAAATATAATTCTACAAATTTTTCTTGATATCTTTCAGTTGTTGCAAATTGAAGCATTTCTGGCAGTGCCACATAAGCCTAACTTTAATATTTATTCTTAATTCTTCACCATCTTTCTGGTTTTACATAGATTTATGGGCTGGATACCATCATGAATAATAACTGAGAAAACATGACCAAGAATTTCTAAATAGTGTAGTAGCAGATGAAGCCATGCAACAAGGTTCTGTATAAAGAAGTCAGGGTAGAATGTCATAAGAAATCTGCTGAAAAGAATGAAATCCTTGAAATAAGATATTCAAATGGTCTCCATTCAAAGTGCAGGTGATTCATCAAATGTGCAGAATGTAAAAATATGCCCAGTCCCTTCAGAGTAGCAGATCTAATGGGCAGGATTATGCAAATTGTCCTTCTGTTGTACAAAGCATTTTCCTCATTCCTCTTTGCTGTTGTGTAGTGCTCTATTGTCTGCCACAGGCAATACTGTTGGTCTGTCATGGATGACTGGCACTGGTGAGCTTTTGTAATCAGGCACACCGGCCCTTCCACATATAGTATCTCAAATGTGTCCTTCAGAGCACAGTCACTGTCTTTGAAAGAGGGTTATTTCTCACTAATGGTTTTAGGTTTACCAGAGCATAATGTGATGTACAACAGGCTGCTTAGCTGACCAGAAAAACCACATTTGACCTGACTACTCCAAAGTATTCTGCCAAGTGTTTAGTCAGGAGGTAGATTTTATATTGTGCTCTTTGTTCAGAGCTTTTTCTTATTTGTTTAAAGTTCAGTATTGTAGTACTGTGCAATATTTGTTTAGTATGTGATGTTTTGTCCCCTCTTTCATTGCAGTCACAGGACAGGTACTGCGATGTGACGCTATTGTCGACATCATCAGTGAGATCCAGATAGTGTCCACTACCAGAGAGTTGCATCTTGAGGACTCTCCACTGGCTCTCAAAATTCATGCACTGGACTCTGAAGGTGTTTTATACGTATATGATAACGTTAATCTCATTGTAGGCTGCTGGTGTTATTAATAATGAGTTATCCCCTTAAGACTATTAAAAATAACCAACGTATTTTTTTCCTCCATGTGAGGAGCCAACACTGTATTGTGTATCTGCTGCTCTACAGACTTTCCAGAGTAATGACTGAGCTGGCTCTAGGCAGCGTTTGTCTTTCCTCGGGCTGCTACTGTGAGGTGGTTGTGTTTGTTCTGTTCGACTGGTTCCATTTAGGGCAGACACACTTAGTTTAATGAGCTGTAGCTACAGCCTGATTCTTTCTGATGATGGCTCCAGGGTCTGGCATTTTGTTTTTCTTTGCTTTGGCCTAAAAGTACATTTTAGATTCATCAGAGTAGATTGCAAAAAGATGGCTTGCATCCTGTAATAAAAGGCCTATTGCTTTTGTTTAAGATAATTTGACTGCCACAAGCTTTCAGACAATTGTATTTGGCATCCATTACACACCCAATCACACAGTAGAGACCTCAGCCTTATAACCCAAGTTGAACAGTCTATGCAAATGTTCTCTGTTCCCCACCAAGTCGCACGTACCCATATTTAGACTTGTTTAAGGTTTCTGGCTTAAGAAAATAGCAGGACTAACCCCCGTCTTTTCTTTATATCACAGGAAACACCTTCAGCACACTTGCCGGTCTAGTATTTGACTGGACCTTAGTGAAAGATGTAGATGTGAATGGGTTCTCTGATTCTTATAATTCATTACGGTAAGCTTCCCTGTGTTAATACTTTGCTCAGAATTACTGAGCAGTCAGATCTGTTAAAAAAAAAAGCAGACAAAAAGTAGACAAGTTTATCAGTGGACATCACGCCGCTACCCCAACCATAAAACCATTGTGATCCCGTTGTTTTGCCAAAGCAGCGTGATATTTCTGTTTTACTAATTGTTCCCTCTTCTTCTGAAAAAGTCATTCTTGAGGTCAGATGCATGGGTACATAATGAGTTGTGTGTCAAAAGTGTGTGTGTTTTTTTATTTTATTTTATTTTCTCCTCAAGGGTACTTAAATTCTCTGAATCCACATACACACCCCCTGGATACATATCTGAAATGGAGCGTGTTGGCAAGCAGGGTGATATTATTTTGGTGTCAGGATTGAAAACAGGACATGCCAAGTTAAAGGCCAAAATACAAGAGGCCTTATACAAGGTAAGATGTTAAGTGGTCAGAAGATGCGTTTGTTTTTTTGGCTGAGAAAAAGTCTTATTTGATGTAGTTCAAAGTTGAACCAGATGTGTAAAACAAGTTTTCTAACGGCCTTATGCCGTTTATGATTTCACAGTAGTACTGTCAGTTGTATTTCTGTCTTTGCAAAGAATCTGGAGCCCACATTTTTTGTCATCAGTCTTTTGTTTGAGTAACTATTCAAACAAGTTGGTGGCCAACAGAGAATTTATTTTAAGTAATAATAATATATTTAAGACATTTTAAAATAACCTATAGTTGCATGTAGTTTAAATGTATTGGCTTGATTTATATCCTTTTGCACATTGCACCTAGTTTATTCTGGTTTGTGAAGGCGGGAATCTGAAGCTCTGTTGTTCTGTAACCATGGCATCTGATGCCACCACAGGATGTGGGTGCAGCAGAGGTGAGGCTGCTGATTTTAGAGAACATCCTGCTGAGTCCTGCACATGATGTCTACTTGCTGGCGGGAACTTCCATCCGATACAAAGTCCTGAAAATAAGGCAGGGCACAATCACAGGTACAACAGTTGAGTGAAGAATAAAATTGATGAGTTTAGCTGTTACTTTGTTTCCAAAGCTGAATTCCACAATCTCACATGTATGAAGTAAAAATGCTGGTTGAGTCACTGATGTCGCTCACTGTGATCAGATGACTCTGTCTAGAGTTGACCTGTCAGCTATTAACCTGGATTGGGTTGTGTTTGCACAGAGCTGTCTATGCCTTGTTTTGTGTTGTTTGCACAGAGCTGTCTATGCCTTGTGATCAGTATGAACTGCACCTTCAGAACAGTATAGTTGGCCCTAATGGAAATCCAGATGTTGCTGTGGCCAGTCTGCACCAAAGCACCTCCACAGTTACAGCAGTTCAACTGGGACACATCAATGTGGTGCTGGATCATAAGAGTATCCTTCTGACAAGTCATATTTGCACTGAGTAGTGATTATATGGGTTAAGGTTCTTTGCCTTGACATCTTCAGCTGATAATATACAATCTTGTGAAAAAGTCTTTTTTTTATTTATGAGCAGAGTCTGACTAAAATACTAGAAGTGGCTTTGTGCATTTGGCACAGATTAGCAAGTAAGTGTAGAGCTGTCACCGTCAATGAATGTACCTGAATTAATTTCCTTAGTAGCAACTGTTTAGGCCTTCGAATGCAAGGAGTGTCTCGCCTGCCCAACAGCACACTGTATGTGGTTGAACCAGGCTACCTAGGTCTGTTTCTTGTTCTTACCATTGAAAACCTAATCAAACATAAGTGTTTTATAGTGTCAGTACTTTACATATTTAGCTAACCTCTGTTTTCTCATTTATTTGTTCAGGTTTTAAAATTTATCCAGGAGACAGCTGGGTTCTTGAAACAGGCAGAGTGTATGATATCCTCATTGAAGTATTTGATAAATCTGGCAAGAAAATCTATCTCTCTGATGTAAGTGTGCCTCAGTATAAAAAATAAATTACCATTTTAATTGTATATCTGTGTGAATATTAGAGAATGTGCCTGGACACACACCTTGTTTCATTAATAGTGTGGTGCAGCTGTTGTTGGGCAGTGTTGTTCAACCATTTGGAGGATTAGGATTTTCCTAAAGAAAGATCTTTAATCTGGACACATCTGAGAGACATGAGAGGAGAATGATTTAGTGCACACTGGGCTTTTCTACACTGTCAAGAGTTTTATTGGCCAGTATTTCAAATCATTAATGAAAAAAATTCCCAGTTATGTATGAAGACGTACATGAAAAAATTACCTTAGAGTTTGCAAAGGTTTGAAACAAGGCCTCTGTCTTTGGTGATAACAAATATGTTTGAAAATCTGCATGTGGTTTATTTTAATTTTGCAGAATGTTCGTATTGGCACTGGTTTCACAGCGGAGTACTTTGAGGTCCTGGAGTCTTCTCTGAATGGCTCCTATCACCGTGTCAAAGCACTCAAAGAAGGCCTAACTCTCATTGATGCTACCCTAACAGCTGTTGTGGATGAAGTGAGTTCAATTGTGCCTTTGACCCATCAATTTGTATTTCATTTAGAGCAACAATATTACAATAACCTTCTGCCCTTTTCCTCCCATTCAGTAGAAAGAGCTTAATCATTTCTTGTTGCCTCTGTTGTGTTTCAGAGTGGAAGGGTTCATGCACTCGCCAACCCGGTCCACAATGAACAGGATGTGGAAATCTATAATCCTATAGTCCTTAGTCCTAGTATTCTTACATTTCCATGGCAGCCCAAGGTTGGAGCTTATCAGTACACAATAAAGGTAATTATTCCTTTGGAGAATGTATGAGAAACCTGGTGCATATGAATGGCTTTGAATCTCATAGCGCAGAAATGTCAGGCATATGTGACCTCCTGCAGGAGACAGCAGCTTTAGCTGTCATGACCTGGCTCAGCCGTATGTTACAAAGGAGGGAAGCTACACACAGTTCTGGAGCAGTGCAAACAGTCGATAAAACATACACAAGAACATACCTTGAACAGATCATTCATGCACACTATGCATTGTTTGGATGAATAGTATGTAGTGCGTGAGTGCATGGATGTGAAGGAAAAGAACAAACAGGTAAGCTAGAGGAGGAGGTCTAATTTATTACATTCTGATTCCAACTTGCTTGGGTGCACTGCATCTCTGATAGGACTAAGCTCCTCCCTCTGACTTCCTGAAAGAAAAAGAGCTAACACCAAAAAAAAACAAAAAAAAACAAGACGGGTGGCCTTGAGGCCGGCACCCCACCTCCACTCCGTAAGACAGGATTCCTACCCTGGAACTTAATAACAATATACATTTTAACTAGAATAAACTACATCAGTCATTTTAAAGTTGAATACAAATGATCCCCAAACACACCTTTGCACAACGTCTGCATCCTGGTTATAGAGACGGGCATCTCTTGGCTCAGCAACCTTGGCTCATGGGAGCAGTTTAAGAGGAGGAGAAACGGACTGCAGAAAACAGGGAAAGATGTTTTCATTAATAAGGTCGTTAACCTTACAAAGCATCTACCATTATGTTGTCTTTGCCCTTAATGTGATGGATGTTCAAGTGGTAAGGCTGCACAAATGGGTTATGGGTGGGATTCTGTGAGTGGGTCGGTATGGTAAGTTTATACAGAGATTGGTCACCCAGAGTCTAGATAAATAGGCCAGTGCCTGTCTTTCTGTCACTGAGTAGTTCAGCTGATAAGAGTTTAACTTAGAAGCTCACAAAACAATCAGTACCTTGTCGGTCAGCTTGACGTAATAAAGCATCTGCTCCAGTATGACTTGCATCCACATGAAGCCTGAAAGGTTTGCCTAATTGAGGAGCTAACAAAACTGGAGTAGAACACAACAGCGCTTTGATGTTGGCAAGTGCTTGCTGACGTGAGACAAACCAAATAAACTTTGATTTTACCTTAAGCAAAATTAAGAGGAGCTGCAACAGTGGAGCAATTCCAGGAAAAACAATTGTAATAGTTAACCAGATCCAAAAACCTCACTAGTTCCTTTTTGTATAAGGAACAGGAAACACCGATGGTGGAAACCTTGGCACAAACAGGCTGCACATGATCTTGACCCACAGCCTTACCAAAATATTGCCACAGTAGTTTTTGCAAACTCCTATTTTGACTGTCAGATTTGCTAATTGTTTAAACAAAGCACAGTTAGGACTTGCACGGTCCTTCCAGGTGTTACTATAAATCACCACATCCTCCAGATATATTGCCCATCCCTCAACACCACTACCATATTCATAAATTGTAGAATGGTAGCAGGTGCATTACGTAACCCTAAACCCGTGACAGTGTAAGAAAACGGACCAGATGGTGTTAGGACAGCAGATATTTCTTGTGCTTTGGGGTTAATGGTACCTGCCAGAACACTTTCAGTAAATCAAATTTACTTGCATATTTTGCTGCACCAACTTGATCAACACAGTCTTCCATGCAATTACAATTACAATTACACTTCTCCACAATTTTCTACTCAATCTATTTTTGCCATCAGATTATGAAGGCAAGGTGTTAACTATTTAACCGCTGAGTGTAAATGCAAGTTCAGAGGTGTCACTTTGGTGCTCATGATGACTCTTCTCTGCTGCTTGTGACAGGCGACAGGAGGGAGCGGCAATTTTAGCTGGTCTTCCTCCAATACAGCTGTTGCCACGGTGACGGTGAAAGGAGTGATGACAACAGTCAGTGACATCGGCATCAGTGTAGTTTATGCTCATGACCTACGCAACCCGCTACACTTTGGCCAAATGAAGGTAAGTTGACGTGGAAAACCATCACATTACACACATTACATATTAATATGGTGACTTTGTTTTAATCATTTTAACAGTTTAATAACGTGCATGAAGGCATGCAAGAAGATTAAGACTTTAGTGTGCTGTTTACACTAGGACTTAACATACACGTTATGGAAATTCAAGCTTTCATTAGGTACAGTGGACCTTGTTTCTTCAGAACCTGAGAGCCAACATTTGGCCTCTTACTGTAAACAATGGGGCTCTGTCCCACTTTAACACACAGTCGTGCCTATGTTAAAAGTGTTTTGGTTATTTTACATGCAGGGTTTCTGTATGTGCTGCGGGGTCCCTTTTGGAAAATGTCTTATGCACCAGACAGCATTTAGCAATATTGGATTCAAAACTTGATGACAGTTGTTGGGTTGCTAGGACACTGTCAGTAAAATCTGATCAAATGACACCCACGCAGTCCTGAAAAAGCAAATTTGCTGTGTTTTAGCCGACCGGTGTTACAGAGAAATAGTTAAGATCTGAAACCAGTCTTGTCTGCTCATCAGCAACGAATGCTAGTGAGCAAGATTACTGGGACCACTTGAGGTGCCTCTCATTATTTTTGTTCCCAAAGGAGCCACTGCTTAATTATGTCAGAATAATCATGAGTAAGCCTTTACGCTTTATTTTACAGAGACTGGCAACATGGGGCTTTATACATAAGTATTTCAAAGCAGTAGATGTTTATCAACTTTTAGAAACCAACGTAATTTTAATGTTCAGATGTCAGCGCTTGAACAGCCATCCAGTTTTCAGCCTTTCTGTTTTTTCAGTTTTTGAAAAAATAGAAATAAGTGAGTTTGTCCTGGTTCTTCCAACTTAATTTTTACTGAAGGTTGTAATTTGTCCTAAGGAAGGGACGTGATTCATATACTTGAGGAGGTCATAGCAAAGAACTGAAAGCAAAGTGTTATGTAAAACAAAAATATTATCAAGTGTAGTATTGTCAATCATAAAAACATGAAATGGTGACAATTATATTTAATATGTCTGTGCAGTATAGTTGCTTTCGTCAAACAAAATTATGACTAAATATTGTCATCAACGAACCTTTATCGCCTGACGAAAACGAGACGAGACGCAACGAAAATGCTGGTCGTGTGACGATGACTATAACTAAATATATAATGCAATATTGTTGACGGAAAACACCGAGACTAAATGTGGTTCACAAAATATAAACTATGCCAAAATGTCTCTTCATTTTCGTTGACCAAAACGAAATGAAATGTTATTTCGTCTCGTTCAGTCGCGTTATTATTTTGCAGTATTTCTGTTTCCTGTGTCTCGCTTCAGGGGCCGCATCAAGCCACACTGCGCAGACGCAGGCAACGTCACTTCCTTAAGCCAAACTCGCAGCATTACAGTTTTTAGAAGACGACAAAGTTAAGTCTGACACAGAAAGGGACCGATGGCCGGCCAGCCGGGGTTCGTCATTGGGAGAAAAAGAAGAAACGACATTTGGGAAAACTTTCATTACATAGAAGTGGAAAACAAAACTGTGTTGTGGGAAAAGATGGGGAGAAATGTGGCCACAAAGTCATACAAAATGTGTACTGGATGTATTCTTGAGTCTATAAGGTAACAATAATATAATAAGATAACCTTGTTTGAAATGGGTTTGGCTCAAAGAAACTTTGTTTCCTCTATACTACTAGGTACTTTACTATATTGACTGGGTTAAATAGAATTGCATTACTAAAAAGAGACAAATTTTCATTGACTAAAACTAGACTAAATGTCATCAGTTTTCGTCGACTAAAACTAGACTAAATGTCATCAGTTTTCGTCGACTAAAACTAGACTAGACTAAAAAGAGTATGAACATGACTAAAACTAATAAAAACTAAAATGACAGCTTGACACAAAGACTAGACTGAAACTAAAATTAAAACAGGCCGCCAAAAACAACTCTACTGTTTCTACCTCACCTACATTCCAAGCTCACAGATTAAATCTCCTCATTTACAGCCATTCCCAGCCCTCAGTGTAATGCTCTCTAATGCCTCTTTGATCCTGTTTTTTCTCAGGTGTACGTGGTTGAGCCTGTGGCCATGGACTTTGCTCCGTGCCCAGTAGAAACCAGGGTGGGCCTGGTTCTGGATCTGCCTCTAAGGATTTTCGGCCTCCTGGAGGAGGTGGAGAAAGAGCGGGTCATGTTGAGTGACTGCTCCCACTTTGACCTGCAGGTTGAGGAGGAGAACCATGGTGTCTTCCAACTGCTAGATGGTGAGTCTGGGAGAGCTGACTGGGCCAGACTGTAATGAAACAAATGTTCGTGGGTGTCGGCTTCCCACAACATGCACAGAGAGCTGAAGCTGGTCTGTTGTCAGATACTGTGGGGTCCATGGGAAAGTGTTCTGTGAATTGCATTAACCAAAGGGTGCTCAATCACAGGGCTCACTCATTGATTACTTTCTCAGTGACTGATTACAGCTCTTGACCGATGAAAGGTGATTCTTGTTCGTCTCTTGTGAGAGGGACACCCCTTGTGTTCATTGTCAGTTACAGTAATGAGTAATACAGACTTTAATATTAGTTTTTTTTTTTTTCAGTCCCTAACCTTTTCAATTGCAGTTTCACATTATGGTATGAAAAATTAAAAAAATGATACATACAGAAATGGACAGAGGTGAGTCTGTATTAGTCTGCTGTCCAAATAAATGCAATGGGACTGTACTTGTCAAACGGTATGGGCACAGTTCAGTCTAAGTTTGAGGCATTGTTAATTTATGGCTTTCACGTTGTCATTTCATTACAACATTTATCTCTGAAAGTTTCTCTGTTAGCAAGATCTACTGTTTTTCATTTTAGAATCTTGTATTATTAATTAGAAGAGTGGGCTGGGACAAATAAGACCTCTCTGCTCCAGTGCGATTTAAAATAGGAAGATAAATGAGTAGGCCTGTGAGAACAATTGTAGTTATTTGTGCATTGTCATATTGCATTTCCTCCTACACTTTGGCTTTCTCCAACCCTCTTTCTCCTGTTCTAGGGAAGCTGGCTCCAGGCCAGGACCACTGCAGTGGGGTGAGAGCCAAAGCCCTGGCCCCTGGGTACACCATACTAACTGTCAGCTACACCCACGGCCACGTTCACCTCAGTGCCAAGATCACCATTGCTGCCTATCTTCCTCTCAGAGTGAGTCCCATGTCTTTCCTTCAAGGAGCTTGCTCATCATGAGCTTTGAGCCCATATCATTTTGACTTCTTTTTGAAAGAATTGGTATTTCTCAAGTTCTCCAGGATTCCTCTCCAACTCCTAATTTTCTTTCACTTGTTTGTCTACTGCACACTTTTTTTTTTTTTAATTCTGTGGGGTAGCTGCTGGGTGTAATAATCTTCAGCATTACCTGACGTCTTCATTGTGACCTGCTCTTATTTTTTGAACTGATCTCACGTCACCAATTAGCTTTTGTCTTCCAAGGAAATAAACTCACTACACACATGGTCTCACAATTCACATATACAGCCTTACAGTCGAGGCAGAAATGTGATCTGAGAGTGTTATGCCATGCATTTTAATTATGCACTCTCCACTTAAAACTAAAACTGAGTTCAGCTGATGTGGTAAAGAACTGAATTTAATGCTACAGTATGACAGTCTATGAAGAGGTAATTAAGCCCCTGTAGAGAAACCTTTTACTTCTAAACCATGTGGGTTTTCATCATACTACACTAAGATAATCATTACAGTAACATGCCATTTGACATTTAATGCACCACTTATTAGGCCTGTGTATTATCATGAGACCGAGTAGTGTTCTTCAAAATACTGCCGACATTTTTGTGAGGTTTCTTCACTTGTTTAGCCCTGGCAGCTAAAGGTTAGCCCAGTTTTTTTTTTTTACCTCACTGTGTAATGCTGTGCATTTTGGTTTAACATTTCCCCAGCTAAGTGTTAAGGTATGTTCTAAACACTAAAATGATTAAGCTGATATAAATAATTACAGGCTTTTGTTTTTTAAAACATAATCGCTTTCTTTTGCTGTCATGGTGCCCCTCAGTGACGCCATTGCAGACTTCTGTGTTATTACATTTTGGTCCAGAAGAACTGTTGACATTCATAAAAGCAAATCTTTCTGAAGTGTTCCACTGTATTTCCATAATAAAATAACGTAATTTGGCAGGCGATTGACCCTGCATCTGTGGCCGTGGTGACTCTGGGTTCATCTAAAGACATGCTGTTTGATGGCGGACCTCGGCCTTGGGTTTTAGAACCCTCAAAGTTCTTCTGCAACTTGAACGCTGAGGATGAGGCCAGCGTGACCCTCACACTGACGAGCCCCTCATCTCACAACTATAACCAACACTGGGTTAGAGCAACATGCAGGGCCTTGGGAGAGCAGGTGGGATCATGCCATCAACTAATGAACCATAGGTTTAGGTTCTATAACTTTTTATTTGTACCTTGAGAATAAATGCATCTGCTGACAGTCCTGGTTTTGTAGTTTGAAGGATAATAATCTTTGCTGTAATACAATTGCAGTATTTTGTCATTAGCTTTCAGCTGAGTCATCATGATCTTCTTCAGGTGCTGGAGGTGATGGTGGGGAACAAGGCCTGTGTGACCAATCCTTATCCTGCTGTGGAACCAGCAGTGGTCAAGTTCGTATGTGCTCCTCCATCTCGCCTGACTCTGGTCCCGGTGTATACCAGCCCACAGCTGGACCTGACCTGCCCGCTGCTACAGCAGAACAAACAATTGGTATGTATGTGGTGTGTTACAACAAGGATCAGCAAGTCTTTCCTAGGGATAGTTATTGAAAAGTAGCTTTAGGTTAATGATGATTAATGAAGCCTTTTCCATAATCGAGGAAAAATGCTTGGAAAATGATTTTACCATATGTTTGCTTCTTAGGTGCCTGTTTCAAATTACCGCCACCCCATTTTGGACTTGGCTGCTTTTGATCAACAAGGAAGGAAGTTTGACAACTTCAGCTCTCTGAGCTTGTTGTGGGAATCAACAAAGGTGTCACTGGCCAGTATTGAACCCACTGTGCCTATGGAGCTGCAGCAGTTTGCAGATAGCAACAAACAGATGAAACTTCATGGTAAAACATTGTGGCTTGGCTTAAACTTACTTGGCTTGTATTTAGAAAGTAGTGAGTTAAAACAGGGAAAATACACACTGTCTTTTTCATATATTGATGACTACATTTTGAATTCATGTATGTGTTTTCTGTTTTTGGTGGCAGGACGTCAGACAGTTCTTGTCCATCATCAGACAGGCATTGCTGCCATTACCGTGACAGCTCTGGGTTACCAGGATTCACATCCAGCAGCAGCCAAAGTTCTCAGTCCAGTAAGTGAAAACGACATCTCAACCGCTAGGACGCTTCAAAAACATTTTCACTTCCCCTTAAAAAAAGCAGAAGCAGTTGAAATGAGGCATTACTGACAGGATCAGTATAATGTTCTCATAGTCAGATCTGTCATGTGAAAAAGATCTTAATGAAGTTGCCTGATTAAATACAAGTATTATATATTTTACTTATTATATACTGTATGTCACTTCTAGATCAATCTGTCAGGTAGTTTGATTGGATAAAGATTTTACTTGGGGAAATGCCCATTTGAGCAAATTTGTGTTTTATGTTTGCTGTGCAGGTAATACTGTTTTTATTGATCCAGTTTTGCACTAGACATGTCACTTATATATATTACAGCTTATATAATATGTACATATTTATCCATAGCATTAATTCACTTTCAATTCCTCTCTCTCTCATCTGGACAGCATGGTTCCTTCACCCCTGTGTCAGCCACTCTGGAGCTTCTGTTGGTTGAAGATGTGAAAGTTTCTCCTGACACAGTCACCATATACAATCACCCAGATGTGCGGGTAAGATAGAGATTTATTACCTCCACCAAGGGGGTTATGTTTTTGGTTTCGTGTGTGTTTGTTAGCAGGATTACAGACAAACAGCTGGATGGATCATCAGCATACTTGTACACATTATACATTGGTGAGGACCAACCATAGAAGTGCTTAGATTTTGGCTGAATAAGGTCAAGATAACATAAATAAAATAAAAAATGTCCATCTTTAAAATGGGGCAAATAAACAAAATAATCTCTGTCAAAAGTTATTTATTTATTTATTTTTTGTTTGAAGTTTGTGTTACTCTGGATCTCATTTTACACAAGGGATCCATTTGCATGAGCGAATGTTGTTTCTTGGCGGAGCTACATGCGCTCCCTGAGTGCTCTTGTTAGTGATGTTTTCTCATATACATATCACTGGGTTGTCTCGTTACCCTCACAGGCATGAGCTCTGACATGCACACTGGCTGCTTTCAAGGCTTTTATTTTGTCTTTAAGCAGTGTAGAGCAAAAAAATCTGAATTTGCTCTAATCACACTAACTACTGAATAATTCAAATGTTAATCACTGCACTAGACACAGTGGAAAGCTGTATCCCTTGCCCTCTCTGCTAAGTGGGCATCCCTCTCTGAAGACTGTGGGATATAGGAACAGTGTTTGACACGTGTGGGGGTTAAATAACAACCAGTGTAAGAGGATTTTAGCACGAGTGTGGTCAGGGGTCCCCTCTGATGTCACATGCAAGGTCGGCTTGGTTAGAAAAACATGACTGTGAACTGCAACAGATTTCTGAATCACCTAGCAATATGGAATTAGTTGTCATATTATTTTAAGCACTATCACAAGGTATTGATTGTATTTTGTCTTGCAGGCGAACCTTGCCCTGCAAGAGGGTTCAGGGCACTTTTTTGTCAATACTAGTGTTAAAGGGATAGCAGACGTTATATTCCAGGAGACCCATGGAACAGCTCAGGTAAGAACAGACATCTGGACTGTGATCTGTGAGAGATGACCTCTGGGAAATATACAGCTGTGATATTTAACATGTATAATTTTCAAGAGAATTTTATGATTGTTTTCTTTGGCTGGATAATGAATGAGTGTACATTCGCAAAACTGCTCCATTGAATACAGGGAACTGCAATTTTGCTAATGAAAAATGACTTTGCTTTGCTCGTGCAGGTTTCTCCCATCCACCCAGGAGTGGTGAAGGTGATGGTTCATGACCTTTGTCTGGCATTTCCAGCACCTGCCAAAGCCACAGTGCATGTTTCTGACATCCTGGAGGTTTATGTGAGGGTAGTTGACAAGGTCAGTTTCCAGCCTTATAATCCCTCATTTTCAAGGGTCTAGGTACTGCGTGACTAGATGATCCCTTTTATCAGTGCCACTCATTCTTGAAATTCTTTAATGACATCTAAGTACTAAATGTGGCTGTCCTGTTCTAGCACTTTCCTTCACAATTTTCATGAAAGCCAGCCAGTCTTGAATTAGTATCATTAGGTTTCCCCTGCCTGTGAACCAAAGTGATTACTTCCCTAATGATGGATGTCATTCATCTCTTTTACAGGTGGAGATCGGCAAATCTGTGAGAGCCTACGTCAGAGTCTTGGATGATAACAAGAAGCCCTTCCCAACCAGCTATTTCCATTTTATGAATCTAAAACTCAAGGCAGCTTCTGAAATAGTCTCACTGAAGTAAATCATGTCAAATTAGTAGATTAGGTTAAGGTGTAAGAACTTACAGGGCTTTATTAAGTAAATTTGTCTTTTTTTTTTTTTTTTTTTTTTTTGCAGACTTTTAGCAGAGTTGGCAGAAAATGATACAGCTGTTTTCCTGGTTAAAGGTATTTCTATTGGTCAGACTACCCTGTCAGCTGCTGTTGTGGACAAAAATGGGAGAAAAATTACATCCCCACCTCAGCAAATTGAGGTAATTTTGAGTGCATTTTAGTAATATCACTGCAGATTTTGACTCTTGCATATGTTGTACATGCTGTACTTTTCCCGCCCCACTTCTAGGTTTTTCCACCATTCAGACTCATCCCAAGGAAGATGACTCTGCTAATTGGAGCAATGATGCAGGTACATTTGTTATTGACTATGTCTGGAAACAGCTGGCCTCTGTTCATCTTGCCAGAAGAGTTTATCTGGTCCTCAGTGTATCTTCCAAAATAGCCAGCTGCTAGGACTCCTCTGGAAGATGATGCTAGCCTAATTACTCCTGGTTTAAATATCCAGTTTGCCTTTCATTTGCCTCAAATCATGTTGGTAGTCATTTTCCGATCACATCTGAAGGTGGCCCACAGCCGCAGTCCAATATCCTTTTCTCTATTTCCAATGAGGAGATCGCTTCCGTTAACGGCATGGGCCATGTCAGGGGTATTGCCATTGGTAATGTCACAGTGACTGGGCTGGTCCAAGCTGTTGATGCAGAAACTGGGAAGCTAGTCGTCGTATCTCAGGTGAGTATCATATAGATAGATTTGTGTTTCACTCACTGAGATTTTTCAGATGAGAAGCTTATTCTCTTTTTTTTTTTTTTTGTCCTTTCAGGATCAAGTAGAGGTTGAAGTTGTGCTTTTGACTGCCATTCGAATCAGAGCACCTATTACAAGAATGAAGACAGGAGCACAGGTATGATTCTTTTGGAAGATTTACAGTGTGAACCAGTTTGACTCCGTTACTGCTTACAGTAGTGTTGCAAATAACTGAGAGAAAAGATTTCACTACTTTCTGTGGGTGGTACTGTCCTCTTCGATGGCCCTGATGTCTCGTTTCCTTTTTTAGATGCCTGTATATGTGATGGGTGTGACCAATAGTCAGACACCCTTCTCCTTTGGCAATGCTTTACCTGGACTCTCTTTCCACTGGTCCACCAGCAAAAGAGACATTCTAGATGTTCAATCAAGACACTCAGAGGTATCCTGCACTCATGCTTTTTGCTTTTACATTTGATATCAGGTATTTTCTGCCATTGGACAATTTCTGTTTTGGCTTTTAGTGTCCCTTTGATCCTTCTGTCCCAATTGACTTAATGCTGTGCCTGCGTTATTGTATGATTTAAAAAACCACCTTGTCAGCCTCTGTCCTTGTTCCTGATTCTTCATTACTGTTGCTTTTTTTATTTGAGTTGCTCCTGCCGTTTTTGCCATTCACATAATGGTGCCTGTCTCCATCAGGCAAATGTGGAGCTCCGCCCAGAGCACAACTTTGGCATGAGAGTGACTGGAAGAACTAGAGGGCGGACAGGGCTAAAGGTGGTGCTCAGAGTTGCTGACCCCAGGGCTGGGCAGCTAGTAGAGCATCTGCAGGAGCTCCGAGATGAGATCCAGATCCAGGTACTGCACTGTGATTACTACCTCCCTGTGGAGTTGCACTTGAAAAAGAAAATCGCTGCGTGTCTTTGTCATGAGCACTAGGTTTTTATATACTCTGTTTTCTGGATTACTTTGCTTATTATGAACATGTCCCCCTGTTGTTTTTTCATAACAGAAACCTGGCATTTAAGGCAGTAGAGCGTTGAAGTTACTGAGCTGTTAAGTTTGTGAAGCGATAAGACGGCGGATTAGTTTGAGCTGAATGTATCCGGCTTCACATTGCATTAAACTATGACATGTGCCAAAACATCAGAGAATAATTAAAGCCCTCCAATAATTGGAGTTTCACCGTTTTGTTTTGAAGGTCTATGACAAGCTGCAGATGCTTAATCCTGAAGTAGAGGCTGGGGAGATACTGATAGCTCCGAACTCAGCCCTCCAACTCCAAACTAACAGGTGAGTTTACACCTGCACACTGTTTTTTTTGTCTGTTCTAAAAAATAATGTCCATAGACAAATGTAGATTTCTCCAACACCTTCCGCAAAGTAACAGAAGCATGTGCCTCATTCAAAGACCCTCGATGTGATTGTGTTCTTGTCAAACAGGGATGGTGTGGGTATGCTCTTGTACCGGATGCTGGATTCCCCTGACCAAGTTATCATCGCTCAAGTAGATGATAAGGGCTTTCTTTCCTCTGGCTCTCTCACTGGCATCTCCTCTCTGCTCATCACTTCGCAAGAGACCTTTGGTGTCAATCAAACTCTCATTCTTTCTGTGAAGGTCAGTTTGACAGCTGCAGCATGAAACGTGTTTCAGATTTGAGTTTTAAAAGCAGTAAGCTCTGGAGGTTCCTTTGCATCTCCTGGTTATGTATCTTAATATAAAAACTAAATCATGAGACAGCAGTTTGTTACATCTCAAAATATGACAACTTACATTATGGAGCTCAAAATGGATTTGAGTACACTGTGCACTTACCAGTGATCTCCAACAGATTTTGAAGTAGTTTAGCTCAACCAGCTCATCTCTATATAGAGGGCATTCTTATCTAGTTGTTTATTATTTATTTCTCACTTTAGTTTTGTAAAAATATATTATTTAAAAAATAAAGACGTGTTTATCCATGTGTCTATTTTGCCCTTAAATCTGCAGTACAGTCATTTTTATCTTAAATTGAGTCTTTTTTTGTTGTAAAATACTTTTAATGTAACTTGTTTATAATAAAATAATATCAGTGTATATAATGAAATGGTAGCCATGTGTTGATACCAAACAGTGACCAACTTGCATTGTGCCTCCGCTACAGACTAATTGTCACTGGGCTGTGTGTATGGCCTCTTAGTTAATAGCAGTACTAACAGCTGACATTGTCTTAGCAGTTGGTAAGTGTGACACCATTTTTCCCATCATTTCTCAGGTCGTGCCTGTGTCATATGTGCGCTTCAGTACCAGTCCAGTCCTTTACACCCACACCAGAGAGAGCCCGAAAGCATTCCCCCTGGGCACAGTACTCAGCTTCACTGTCCATTTTCATGCCAGCACTGGGGAGGCCCTACACAGCTCCAACTCTCACCTTATATTTTCCACAAACAGGTCAGTCATCTCACAATGTAGTGTTTTTTAAATGCTTCTCATTATGTTTCCAAGGTTGCTGTCATTTGCTGACATAATTCATATATTGATTACATGAGTGAAAAATGACGTAGTGTTGATATTGATATATGGATGATATATCCACTGTACTGAAAAACAATATTCTGCAATTCTCAATAGCTAATTGCAGTTTCAGCTTTTCTGTATTCAGACTGGGCATCACGAGGTTATGACAGGGTTAGTGACAGGCTGCATATGGAGTTCACAGCATTAATTTACTGGGCTGTTCCTACAGCTTCATTTCGGATGGAGTCGTTTCTAGCTGAGTGAGTGAGCTAAATTAATGGGAGTGTTGGGCAAGGAGGCGCATTACTGCGTTCCCAATGAGGGACTCCCTCATCTGTCTGCACAATAAATTGATTCTATTACCTTGTCCTCCAGGTGCTGACAGACAGCTTAAGGTAAACCCATCAAAATCAGACTAGTAAAGGGCTAATAGTTTCAGCTCTAAGACCACTGGTTAGTGTAGCCAACTGGGATTTACTGGTAACTGGTGAGAGCACCAGAAACTCAAAATGAAATGATAAAGCAAAAGGCAGACGGTACATAGGTCAATATATTGGTTAACAAAAGTTCAAATTCTAGCGTTTTGTCTTTGTTGCACTTACTAGCTATAATAATTATTATTCAGTGATAATTTTTTCATAACAAAACCTGTGCTGCTGTTCTGTCCTGCAGAGATGACCTGGTGCAGGTGGGGGTTGGGCCTGGTAACCACACCCTGACGGTGAGGACGGTCAGTGTAGGCCTTACCCTTCTTGCAGTGTGGGACAGTGAAAACACGGGTGTGGCGGACTACATCGCGCTTCCTGTCGAGCATGCTATTAACCCACCTGACACCCACATACTGGTGGTGGGAGATGTTGTTTGCTTCTCTGCCCAGATAACAAGCCCAGATGGTGAGAGGTCTACATTATTTAAGCAACAGACCTACTGTACTGTGTGAAGTAATCAGAAAATAACTATTTAGAACAGAAGGAAGAATAAAAAATAGAATGTTAAATTTTGATTTGACAGTAATGATTACAGACCAGTTATGTGTCGTCTGCTCTTGTGTAAACCCAGTCTTTTTTTTTTTATTGTATTTCGTTCTTTGTGATCAAATAACAGTAGAAGCATCTTTCTTGCTGTGTTTTTTTGCCCCCTTATAAGAATAAGCTACCTGTTCATCTCCAGTTTACTCTCTCGGCTGAGAGCTCTCTTGTTGTACGTTTTATATTGTAAGCGGTTTGAGCGCTTGGCACAGCACACACGTTGTTTTGAAATTGGACTTTATATTCCCTTCTCTGCAGGTGCTCGTGGTGCTTGGAGCTCCTCAGCTAATGGTGTTCTTCAGGTGGACTCTAAAAGTGGTGCAGCTGTAGCAAGAGACTCTGGGACAGTTACTGTGTACTATGAAATCCCTGGTGTTTTGAAAACCTACAGAGAGGTATGTTATCTGTAGGTAATAACTGTCTTTACCCACAGTGCCTCAGTGACAGTGATATAGCAGTCATTGTACACTGGTGTGTTTTTATTTTTGTTAGCTTTTAGTCATGGCTGTGATGCATGAGCAGCAAATCTGAGTGGTGTAATTATGCAAACAGCACATCGCTCTCTTCAGTTTTATTTCTACTCCAGAAAGTTTAGGCAGTGCTTCAGGAATGTATCATAACGAGAATAAAAGTACAACCACTGTATAGTGCATCCATTATCCTCCTTCAGTAACAATTTGGTGCTGCCTAATGCATGTGTATGATATTACTGCTGTTGAGATTCTCATACGTGGCACGTGAACAGATTATTTGGCTTGTTCTACGTCCTGGCACTGGACTCTATCCAGTCATACTCCTTCCTGCTCGTGAGCGAAATGTAACCTGCATCTTCATATGAATATTTCCTAGCAGGGTGAGAATTAGTGTGGGTTATTTTATCATAAACAGGTAAAATTAATTCAGTGATTAATTTATTTTTCCCCTTAAAGCTGAGAGACTGATAGAAGTAGCTGTAATGTTTATTAAACACTCAACTGTGTTTTAATTACAGTAGTTTGTTTCATTGACAGTCTGATGTGATTGATTGTAAACAGTTAGTTGTGGATATAATTATAATGTGATTATTCCATACGTCTCCGTGTGATTTACTGGCTGTTCTCTGGCG